GAAGAGCAGACTTCACTTAAATCTTAAATGAACTTTAACACAGACCTCGTCGACAGTTACGACCAGTCCACCCGGATGAGCAGGTACATTTGTATCCGCCATCTTTGTTCACACAGCGTCCATGTTGGCACAGGTTTCTGATACACTCATTGATGTCTGTGGGATAAAGAAAGAGTTTAATCACCATTCATAAACAAAACCTATTATCAAAGAAGAGAGAGATTTTGACAGAAAAGAAATCCATGGAGATAGGAAATTCTATGCTTTCAATGTAAATCCTAGCTTCATGTACCGATAAATTAGAAGAACCTACCTTGCTCACAGTTCTGACCAGTCCATCCAGGTAAGCAGGTACATTTGTATCCACCATCTTTGTCCACACAGCGTCCATGTTGGCAGGGTTTGCTGGTGCACTCATCGATGTCTGTTGGATACAGAAAGACACATATTCATACTAACTAAAATCCAATATATGTATGAACGTGAGACCTCTAGCGTGAACGAAAACACAAAGGCATAATCAGAAAGAAATCACCTTGCTGACAGTTCTGTCCAGTCCATCCAGGTAAGCAGGTACATTTGTATCCACCATCTTTGTCCACACAGCGTCCATGTTGGCAGGGTTTGCTGGTGCACTCATCGATGTCTGTGGGATAAAGAAAGACACATATTCATACTAACTAAAATCCAATACATCTATGAACGTGAGATCTTTAGCGTGAGCGACAACACAAAGGCATACATCAGAAAGATATCACCTTGCTGACAGTTCTGTCCAGTCCATCCAGGTAAGCAGGTACATTTGTATCCACCACCTTTATTCACACAGCGTCCATGTTGGCAGGGTTTGCTGGTGCACTCATCGATGTCTGCGGGATAAAGAAAGACACATATTTATACTAACTAAAATCCAATATATCTATGAACGTGAGACCTCTAGCGTGAACGAAAACACAAAGGCATACATCAGAAAGAAGTCACCTTGCTGACAGTTCTGTCCAGTCCATCCAGGTAAGCAGGTACAGTTGTAGCCACCATGTGTGTTCACACAGGTTCCATATTTGCATGGGTTTCCGGGACACTCGTTGATATCTGTGTGATGTGAAAAGAACGCTTTAGAAAATTAATTGTAGCACCAAATATTTGAGAACAGACCTAACCAAATCTTGAATGAACTTTTACACAGACCTTGCTGACAGTTCTGTCCAGTCCATCCAGGTGAGCAGGTGCATTTGTATCCGCCATCTTTGTCCACACAGCGTCCATGGTGGCACGGGTTTTTGATACACTCATTGATGTCTGTGGGATAAAGGAAGACACACATTACATTAAATAAAACCCAGCATATCTCTCAACTTTAGGTGGTTGAGTTGTGACTATTCTTGAACATGGAACACTTCACGTCCTATCCGAGAGACGTCTTTAACAGTGACGAGGTGCTCATTTCCGGAAAGTCGTGCTAGTTTCTTTTCAAGTGCACAACGCAACATGGCAAAGCCGAACACTTTGTTGTTACGCTACAGGTTTAAAAAAAACAACCTTGCTGACAGTTCTGTCCAGTCCATCCAGGTAAACAGGTGCAGTAATATCCGACATCTTTGTTCACACAGCTTCCATGTTGGCAGGGTTCGTTGTAACACTCATTGATATCTGTAGAATAATGGAAGACAAATAGGACATATCGAGTATAACTCAACATATCTCTAAACTTTATACCTCTAAAGTGAGTGACAAAGTGTGTAAAAAAAAACGGCGTGTGTTAGCCCTTACCTGTTGTTGATACACGCGTGGTGGTCATTGGTTCGATTTCAGGTGAAGAACTGGCTTTTGTAGATGCCTCAGTTGACTCCCCTTTCGAATACAAAAGGGATGAAGTCGAGTAAGAAGCAGCAGTGATGTTTTCTTCCATGAATTCGAACGTTGCCATCCATGTAGTATCAGACCTTCTCAGCATTGGTGGTGAGCGGAATGGAGTCGTGTTGGCGAGGAATTCGAACGAATCGTTTTCCTTGTAGAAAATTGTTGACGCACGGGCGCTGGAATTTGTCAGCCTCAAACCGAACACATTGTCCGGTTTCAAAGCATCTTTCCCCTTCTGTTAACAAATATAACGTTACACTTAGTTATTTCCTTGGATTTGTTGGAAATTTCTGTATTCCCAAAGTGGACAATATGATAACAAAGGACGAGGAAGAAAATTTTGTGCACCCGGTACAGATTTTGCTCTCCGAGTCTCTTTTTTTATTGTTCATTATCCATTTTAGCATACCGTTATTTTCCTTATATTATTATTTCTTTATATTATCCCACAACCAACAAAATTTGATTAGCGTAGCTCAAAATAGGAAGTAAGAACTAAAAAAATCAAGCAAATATCACCAAAACAGGTTGCTTCTTTATGTCACAGAATCTTGATTTGTCCATTCTTGAATGTAAACATATGTTGATGTGTATGCTACACTACTAAATTAATATAAAAAGCCTGTGAGGTAACGCATTGTGCACATTATTTCTTGGTGTAATAGTCTGTATCCCCAAAGAGGAAAACATCAAAACAGAGGAGGATAACTTGCATCTTACTGCATTTACTTTAGTGCTGTAAACTTTCACGGTGGTCAAAATTGGGCCCCGATCTCCCCACCCGCAGTAGAACCCGAACCGTGTTCGATCTGACGTAATTCGAATAGAACGGTGTTCGAAATGGGGTCACCCGCGGTCATTTACAGTAAATCTGTGTCTTCTGGCCCCTTTTTACATGTGTACCTCCTAAAGCCTCGGTCACAACTCGCCGTGCGTGCTTTTTGTCCGTACGTTTTTGTCGTGGCTACGTCTGCTACGTTTTTTCTGCAAACGTAGGGTGGCCGGCCGAGGGAGTACGTCACTCGCAAGGTGTACGTACGTGGTCTGCACGACACGCCTGGCCGATAGCGGTTGCGTGCACCGTACGTTGCGCAAGTGGTAAGTGAGTTGTACGTGCTTACAACGTACGATCTCTGTGTGATTGCCACGTTGCCGCGTACAGGCCGTACCTACACGTGCGGCGTGCGCACGATTTCCTTACTCACTCGCACGTTGTAAGTGCGTGCACCTCCTGTTAACTTCATCATCACTAGCCGCCCTGGTGTCTTCCGCGGCCCGTTTCTTTGGATCTTGTCTGGTAGACTTCTTTTGAGCCTTCCTGGGCATCTTGGAGACGAGTTGGCAGTCGCCCGTCAAGTCGTCTTTATATACTGTAGAAATCAGGTGCGTTGCACGTGCGTTGCACGTGCGGAGCACCTAGTATGGTGCACGTGTGTTCTGCGTGGTCATTGAGCAGGTCAACTGGGAAGTGAGGAGTAAGCACGGATGACGCAAGCACCGTGCGTGGCACTCAC